GGGTTTTTCTGTAATCACAGATTGGGAGAACCATCTTTTTAAACTACCGTCGTCGTTTAGTATATTCACAGCTGAAACTCATGCTATTTACCAAAAGATTTTTCAAAGATGAAAACACAGTTGCAATCAGTACATTTTTCCATAATATAAACACTAAATACCCATTGTAAATAATAASTATAATARTGTAGTAAAATGTATTCCAAAATTTAATGTATACATATATATGTTTTCCTTTCTTTTTCTTGTATAAATTTTAACTAAAATAGGCTAAAAACCTGTGTTGTTGAAGCCTTAATAAACTTTGAAAAAAAAAAAAATCTAACATCAACAAAATTTTCATCTGTTCTATACTGTCCATTTTAAAAAGTTTTCTCTTCACTAACAATAACATTTATATTCAACACCTCAAATGAGAAAACGCTATTGAGAGAAGGCGTGTGTATAAAAAAATCATAATGAATAGGGACCACATATTTTATAAGAATTTCTTTATTAAAATGCACAATTACACGTACATAACCCAAAATTGGATTTAATTTAAGCTCGAACTTAACTTATAAATTAATACCATGTTTATTATATTTATTCATAGACCCATGAGTCGATATCTTTTGTCCATGGGACTACTTCTTTTTCAGAGAACCACAAAGCAATTTCTTTGTTAGCAGATTCTACAGCATCCGATCCGTGAATTATATTACTATAAATGTATAAAATATAAAAATTAATGGTAAAATAACATTTAAAATGTATGAATATATATATATATTTACCGGCCAACTTGAATACATAAATCTCCTCTAATAGTACCAGGGTTTGAGTTTTTCGGATCAGTAGCACCAAGAATGAAACGTCCAGTTTTCACAGCATCTAATCCTTCCCATACCTACAATTATATGATTTTAGTTAATAAATAAAATTTTACAAGTGTAGGTATAGTATTTACCATGGGAACAACTGGTCCAGATGACATGTACTTGATAAGACCTGGGAAGAATGCTTTGCTAGAAAGATCGGCATAGTGTTTCTTCAACAATTCTTCGGAAGGCTACAGACATAAAAATAAAGGTTCTTAATAGTTATTAACAGCATTTAAAGTAAAAATATAAAATTAAATAACATTAAAGCACAGAATATAACAATTAATTAATTAATTAAAGGCTCTAATGTTATTTTCAAGAAGTTTAATTACACAATTTGTATCATTGTCTAAAAGACTTCTAAGTTCAAACTAGTGTAGGTACCTATATTTTATTTACATGTATATAAATATATTTAATTTTACAATTTATTATTAACCTAACCTCATGCCTAACTTTAAAAATATAAGTTTAAGTATTTATTTTTGGACAATAAAATCTCAATTGGAACAATACCAAAATTTCTTTTTTATTTCAACACAGAGATATGAAAAAAGTCCCAAAATAAAAGTGGTTGTAATTAGGAATTGAGCTATTTACAACATAAATCACTAAATTGTATTACTCAACAATAAAGGACAAGAAACAACAGTAATTTGACAGTTTTGTCCAATGAAATAATGTTTTATAGGTATTGAAAACAGTCTAAAATAATTTTAAGGTAATCCAACTTGAATATGTAAATATTTTATCTTATTCTACAATTAGATGTTATCCAATATCTAATTTAAAAAAAAGCCATAAAATTATCATTGTTAGTAGCAGGCACAAATAATTATTAAAAATATATTTAAATTAGTTTCACCAAATAAAATAGAAAATAATAATATAAAAATGCAGTCAACAATTATTAGAAATGACCTAAAATGCAACACATTAATATTTGGGTAAAACACATTGTTGTAACTATTTCTTATAAATATAAAACATAGATTGTAAATAATCAATGATAGGTATTTCATTAAAGATAAATATAAATACTRCGTAATCAGTTAAAAGAGAAACAAACTTTTAAATAACTAAATGCATTTGGATACATAGACAGACGGGAGCGTCGATGCTATTCCGATTAAAGTCGCCTACTATGGTCTATCTACTGCGGGTCGATGGATCGCTATCAGTGATCCACGTTACAGTTTATGATGTTAAATTGTATCTCATGGCTGATGACCATTTTTCGCACTCACCCAGACGAATTTCATAGCGACCAGTTTGAATCCTTTGGTCTCGAAACGTTTGATGATCTTGCCGACAAGTCCGCGCTGCACACCGTCGGGCTTGATCATGATGAAAGTGCGTTCGGCATTCGGGTCGCCCATGGCTAGTCTGATGAGTATTTGAAACGCTGTTAGTATCGAGCAAATGAACATGTAAAATAAGCGAGGAGACCGCCGGGGTGTTTGATGTAGTGTAGCGGCCGCGAGGTGATGGACAACGAAGGAGTGCAATGAGATCGGATTTCGTGAGAAATAAAAAGGAAGACAAAACGGCTGCTGCAGAATAGTATGATGTTGTACTGACCGTTGTTTGGTGGGCGTTGCTTCAAAAAAATTTGTACTGGTAGAGAACCGAAAAGGCGGTCCTTTCAAAGATGTTTATCGGACAAGAGACAAAAGCAAAGTGTTTAAAGTCCAAAACGTGAACGTCCAAACAATGGTATAAAATGTATTATGCTTTATGCCCTGGTGGCGAGGTGGCCGGTGTCGGACGATCCTGGTTTTGTAGTTAGGTTAAGCATAACCATGGTAGAGGCATAATATTATATGCTTCAAAAATTGAATCTTAATTATATGGTCTGATAAACGTTATCACCAACGCATATAAACTGTAAACAAGACCACATTGTTTTTTTTTCAACATAAGAATATAAAATGTATCAATAATTTTTTGTGTCTTTTCAATTTTCATCCGCAATAAGAATTTTTAAAATTACGATGGACGAAACAGAGGTGAATCGCAAGAGGAATTTATTGGCCTTCTCAGGGATTGGTTCGRCCCTAAAAACGAAACGAAAAGGTAGTATATAAAAATGCTCAGAGCATAATTAGTATTATTATTTTAAAATTTTATTTTTTATATATTTTTCATTTGCATAGATATAATAAATGTCGCTAAAACTCAAGAAGCTGATGCCAAACGTCAGAATGCATTGGCCGAAAAATGGAAAACGTTACAAGACCAAAAGTGTGCAATCGCCAATGCACTAAAGGTATCTTACATGATTATCAAACATTGTTTTTTTTTTAAATTCTGGTGACCTATGATATTATAATTTATATTTTCATTGTATCGTTAAAAAGTATGATATAATTTATTTTAAAAGTACATAAATACTTAAGAAATTTTAGTTTTAAAGATTTTGTAGTACCTATTGTATAMACATAATATATATAAATACTTTCTAAACAATATTTTGTTCATTGTTAATTTAGTAGTTTTTCATAGTTGTTTGATACAATTTATGTTTAATGTATTCACTAATCACTCGGTACCAATTTAGATAACTATATTTCAATTTATATCTTAACTCTTAAATTTTTATCATTATTAAATTAATTAATTAAACGTAGTTTATTGGTWTGAATTGTAGCAAAACGGGGATCTTACTGAAACTTAAATTAAATAATAAGCGTCATAATCATAATTGTATTTTTTTTTAGGGTGGATTATCAAACAAGAAAATAAAATTTGATGAAGATGGCGATCAACAAGTAAATGATTTGCAATTATCAACGCATAAAATATCATTATTTGATGATGATGAAGCTAGTGATCATGAAAATCAAGAAGAGYTAGTATCCGATTACAAGTTAAAATTGCGATTTGAAGGTGAAAAAGGCAAAAAGGTGACATAATTATGTAGATATTGAGATTTTAATATATGTACGTTTTGGGTTTAATATGAATATATTTTTTTACTTTCAAGTCACAATACAAAACTAAAAAAAAAATACTTTGATTCATATGATTATGCATATCTATTTGTATTAAAATGTTATTATTTATTTAATATTATAGTTGTTCCATATGCAAACATCTAAAGCTACCGGAGATGACCGATTTGTAATGGACAAACGATTTTTTGAAGAACAAGAAACTACTGAAAAATTAAGCGATGATGAGATAGAAAAACAAATGAATATTTTAGAAGATGTGATGGGCCGATCAATTAACAAGCCTAATAAGGTTAAAGGAGACGAACTGTAAGATTATTAAGGACAAATCTACTTTAGTTACTATATGATTTGTGTTCTTTTTAAAATACTCTTGTATTTTAATATTGTATTACAGTAAAACAAAAAACAAATTTCAGAAATTAATATTTTTATAATCCAAAACAGTTAATGTACTTGCTCCACAATTTTTTGTGATAACTTGTTGTCGATCATGTTTAATTTTCAATTTTCTAATCATATAACCACATTTGTTTCTTAAAATTATAGTMAAAAATGTTCTACAATGTGGTAYGAAATACTGGGGTAAAAGCTACTTATAAACATCTGCAACTTTAATTAGTCAACCTACTGTAAATTCTATGCATAAATCATAGTGTAAAAWTATTTTTATATCACAAGATAAACAATGAAAATTTAAAAATGATTAGCTTACCTAATATACAATTTAAAATCATCAGAACTGAAAAATTAGCTTTAACTACTAAGTTCTGACTATTAATTATATAAAATTGTTATTATTTATTTATCAATTATATTCAGTCTTATCATGTAAATCACATAAGCTAAACTAGAATCATCAAATTATTTTTTCAATAATCAGTAGTTTATATCAATGAAACTGACGTAAGGATTATACTTAAGATGATGTCAGCTCAATAAAATATATGCAATGCTCCAGAAATGGCATTGTGTGCCAAAATACCAAATCATCAAAATTAAAAAATACAATATTATCTAGGGTATGACATCTATTTGTAGATTGAACTACTGAAACAGTAGTTATTTAAGATTAAAAAATTATTATTTTCGACAACTTAAAAAGATTGCATTCCTCTTAAAACTTATAAAAAGCCAAATGGATATGTTATTCCTTAGATAATGTTGCTATCATTAATTTTTATAATAGGTTGTACTATGCTGAATATAATACTTTSAGATTAAAACTAATTTTTAAAAAACATTTTTTTGTACTGACATCTTTATAAGATTCTTGATATTTCAAGATAGWTGAGAATAATTTGAATAACTAAAAATGTTGCCTTAATAAAAAAATAATGGACATATTATATGATAGGTACTTATTATTAAATTGGTTTAATGGTTTGATTTTAAATATCAATAATATTACGTTGTTTGTGTTAATATAACAGAGTATTCAGACTTGTAGGTATTTTATGCTTAAATAAACTGTTTTWAAAAATAAAATAATTTACTAAACAAAATAATAAATTTTTAACTGGTTTAGATTCAATATGGTGAGATATGATCCAACACAAGAAGAACATAAAAAATATGTTAAAGACAAACCAGAATTACCAAAACAGAAGAGGCCTAAAAAGCAAAAAGTAGAACAAAACAAAGTTGTAGCTGAAGCAGTTGTTGATACAAATAAATATTATAAAGTTGGTGATAAACTAAAAGATGTGTTTAGTTCTGAAAATCAATTTAGCTTTACTAACTTATTTCTAACTTCTGATAAAGGTAAGTTAAATAAAAACATTTATTGAAATTTTATCTTCAGTATGTTAGCATTTGATTAAATTGTAAATATCTCCTTAATTTTAGATTTC